TTAAAATACCGGTATTTTTAATTTCGGTTCCAAGCCCTGATTATAACTAAGTCTTGTCAATCGTAATTTGTAATAGGGAGGATGTAATGATAACATATTATATGATATTATATATTATAGTATATGATGTTGGCACCATTGTCGCGGTGTCACACACGGCAGTCGTGCCTCATGATCTCAGAGTGTGTGTGTGTCTGTAAGCCGTCTTATTAAAATATACGTTTTTCATATTATAAAAACGTGTCTTTGTCTTATTAATTAATTCTTAGGTCATTACCCACTTCCAAGTTATTAACATATAGACTACAGGCGTATTATAAAAGTATTTTAAAATCGTTTTTATTTTTATTACCTATAGCTAGGTTAGGACTTATCAGTATTAACTACTTGAAATGTTGACTAAATATATTATCCATAATAATACAAAAAATATATAATTTACCAGGTTATTTTTTTTTTTTTGTTTAACTCTATATTGTATATACTACAATTTATGTTAAATATATTAGGAAAATAGTCATATTTGAGAAGGGACTGTGTGAGCTTAGCCCCCTAGAATTTTATTTCATCAAAACGAAATTAAAATATTTAGAAACATTAATTATTGAAACCCACTAGATTATTTAAAGATTTATAGGTACTAAACTTGATAACGTTTACAATGTTCTACTTAACCAAAAAAATTCGAATTAGCACATTTCTTGACAGTTTTTCAAAATGAACATTTTCAGTATTATAATGATAAATTATAAATCAAAGTATATTATTAACTGTTATAAGAACAATTATCTGAAGCATTTATCCTATCTCGTACACACCCCTCTACGAAGACTAACTTATATATTAAAATTTGTTTGAGGGAGTTATAAACACGGATTATGTAAAACCAGATGAATTAACTGACAAATCCAACCTATCTCTATGCAGTAGGATCACAATTATGCGAAATAAATTATTGTACAATATATTTACTATAGTAATTGTATTAAATAATATGACAATGTCAAGACACTTGGTACGAGTGGTAAATATCAGCGATGCGTAGTTAATAATCAAACATTTATAAAAAAAAAAACTATTTTTCTATTAGTGGTGATACTTATTTGAGACTTGTTTACTTTTTTGAGAATTATATGGCTTGGATAAAAAGTTCACCATCTGGTTTTATATAATCAGTGCAATAAATTATATTCTCTACGACAGTCACAAACCCCAACAATTTTATAGGTGGTTTTAATCGACATTATCTGATACATCAGTATTTTTCTGTAAATCGGTATGTGTAATAAATAATTATGGACTGTTACAAAATAAAGTTTATAACTTAGATACATATTGGCTATTTCTATATACGACCTTAAAATAATATTTTAATGGTACCATAATAAACTATCATATGTTTAAAACCATGGTCATGGTTTATAATTTTATCATATTCATTTGATCATAGATAACAAAATAATGTCTATAGACTAATTATGAACATTTTATAATTCATTTTAAAATACACATGTCAATTGTTAAGTGTTTTTACTTTTAACTAATCGAATTATATTTTGTGTTAATTGTTAGATTATGAAATAGAGACGTGCCATTTTATAAGATGTCAAGTATACCTAAGAATAGTAAAAGTAATAATGTTTCTAAAAAACGTTTAGAAGATGATGACGATGACTAGGTATTCATGTCATATTATGCGGTCTACCGCACACTTTTCGTCTACCACATATGTTTCTACACGTCATATTATGCGGTCTACTTCCGCGTATCTACGTACCTATATATATATATTTTTTTTGTCATTATTTTGGTTTAAAACTTCGAATTATTAAAAAAATGCATGGTATCTACAACATCTMCATCATTGCTGCCCTCGTATTTGGTGGTACAATGGTGCCGTCTAAAAAACAAGAATGACAACACATTTGATTGTTTTTTAAGAGATGTGAAATTATATTGTACCTAATWTAAATTGATTAATGCATATCTCTATATAATTTTACATTTTTTGTCAGTTAGTTTTTAATACATATACTTATTAAATTTATCTACATATTTTTATATATTTTTTTGTATTATTAAATATTATATTGAAATTCTACATTAATAAATAATATATTGTAATCCTACATTTATGAATTCATTCATATTTTTAACTATGTGGTAGACGACAAATGTGCGGTTGACCGCATAATATTGTAACGTGTAGAAACAGGCGGTAGACCGCATACGACATGAATAACCTCATATGATATCTAAACCTACGTCCCATATTATAATTAAATTAATTAACCATATGTTATTTATATAATAAACATCACACATTATTAATGATAGGAGTAACATTTAAGACCAATATTTGAATACTTTATTTAAAAATGTATGAAAACAGAACAATTACCTAATACTTTTTCATTAACCTACCTTCCTATTTAGTTATTTAATAAATAAGACATGTATCTATTTATAWTCACATATTTTTTCTTGATAAAAAGATTTAAATATCTTATTCCATCTATTAAATACGAGTACTTGATAAAATAATGTATATCTTGAGTTATACTATCTACATTTAATATTTTTAATGACATTTTTTTGGTAAATTTAAGTGAAAAATCGGTAAATTAATTGATTTAAAAAAATATATTAAATAGAAATGTTAATTGTAAAATTAAGTTATTTAATTTTGGGGATAAAGTCATGGCGCACTTTAGTATAAAATAAATAAATAAAGATTGTAGCCCTCCCAAAGTGTTACTCTAGAAGTGCCAATGTTGCCAGGAAACAGTGTTAGATTTTGCGTATCTGAATGTCTTAATATCTAAAGGGATACGTATTAGTATAAACTCATAATTTTTGTTAATTTTTTTGTTATATTTATATAAATATGTATAATATAATACAATATGCTTACGTTAAAATAATAATAATATTGAACATTTTTATTAAATTATATTAAATAGGTAATGACTATTGTATTTTTTGTAGATTAATTATATATTTATATATATTTTATACGTGGCTATTATTTGTTTAATACAAATAAATTAACGTTGACAATAACTGTTTAGTGCATTGATTAGTGAACATAGGCATAAAACTACAATAGTTACGAATTTATAATCATAGTTAGTATTTATAGTTTAATACAATAAAATGTATTCTTAATAATAGGGTTTGATTATTAAATAAATTTGAATTTTTTTATTTGAAATCATTTCGATTTTAATTACGTAATATCTAAAAACCATGCGCAAAAAATATACCTAGGTGATAAAATTTAAACGAAAGTTGTTAAATAGCAATTTTAAGTTTATATTGTAATTGAATAGCTGATAAATACTAAATTAAATAATATAATTTAGAAATTTGTATTGTATGTTATTTGTAAAAAATGGAATAATATATATACCTAATATTCTACAACAAATAATGCTATTATTTTTAAAAACTTTAAATTTTTTTTATAGATACCTATTTATCCGAATAAAAAGTAGTGACAGCTAGAAATAAATATTGAAATAATTTACCATAATATTGTGACTTTACTAATCTATAAGATCTGCGTTGTTGCCTTCAATCAAAGGAGTTAGGTTGGTTTCATGTTGTGGAAGACGAAAAATACGAGATTTTTGATTTTTCGGTTCTCCGTTTTTTTCTTTTTCATCACTCTCAGTATTTTTATTTTCTATATATCAAAAATCAAAGTTTGAAAATAAATTTAAAATTTTCTAAATCTAAGTACATCAAAATTATACAATGGAATTTAATTAAATAATAATTCCTAATMTAGCTTTAAAATTTGTAATTCTCAAACGATTTGTAATATACACTCGTCATAAATATATATGTAATATTAGTTTCCTCGGATTTAGGCATCACCTGATGTTTCTTCCGATAGATTTGTGGTGCACTCCGACATAATAGCCTTTTTCGATGCAGTTGGAACCATTCCTTGGACAAGATCCATACGCGAATCCAAAGAAAACTGTTTTCCTGACATCAGAATCCCGCGAATTCTTCTTCTCATTGCTTGTAAAATACAAATGAAAAATAATATTATTGTTCTTATTAACAAGAATTTCAGTACTACTATATTTACAAGAGCTGTCTTTCATTTCACTTCTTAATAGTTTCCGTGACCAATCGTCTCCGTTATCAAACAATGCGGCAAAGCTCCCGTTTACTACTTTTGGTGACATAGGTGAATTTGCTAATAGCAAACTGGCACCGAAGTTATTATTCCAATTACGCGTCTCTATAGTATTATACAAATAAAAAAAATTAACAAGTAAAATGGTTATTTTTTTTACATGTTAACTTAAAAATCTTAAACATATTATTGAAAAGAGTTTGTATATAAAGACATTAAATTTGATTGAATTTAGTAATTTTTTACTGAGTGTATAAGATTATTTCAAAATTCTAATTGAATTCTAATTTAAGAGTTAAGGCTATTCAAAATAAATTACTTTGGCTATCATCGKATACTATATAGGCATAGATTGGAGAAATAGCACAAGAAACCGATAAGAAGTTGAAGTTTGATACATTTTTTTTAAGTAATACTTATGAGGGCAATGGAGGGGGGGGGGTCTTCAGTCCGTTAGCCCCCCCCCCTATGCGGACGCCACTGCATAAGTTATTAATTTTCAAGCATTTTGGTGTGTAGATTGTTTGTGTCTATACTGATGAAATTCTATCGAACAACATTTTCATATCTAAAAGTAGCTGGTAGGCAAATTTGAATACAAGCGTAAAATTATAACAGTAAAATATTAAGAGCGCAATTGGTACACTCCATAAAATTTAAGAAGTACAACGTATATTGACCATAAAATTCAAATTCTGTTTTAAGGGCAATTAGTCTATGCAGGGGAGCATCCAGCGTTAGGAAACTGTGGGTCAAGACAATTCTAGAGGATACCTATAAAAATTAGATTAGAAATCTTTTGTACTAGATATAGTTTAAAAATGCATAAATACTGAAAGTTTAGGTATTTATCCCATTATTTAAATTAAAATAGTTTTTTTATCTTTGCAAAAAGTTTCAAAGACTACTAAACTTATTTTTTTAAGCTGAAAATTTTTCAATAACAAATATCACAAGGTTTTACAATTTGTCTTCAGTTATATTAGAGCAAAGTAACGTCTTAATTAATTTGAGACGACTAAAATTTTTTTCAACTGTAGCTTTACTCACAGGAAGTGTATAAAAATCGTATACAAAGTAGATAAATAATTGGTACCTATAATCAAATCATATCATTAATTATCATCAATTTCAAAACATCATTTGTTGAAATATTTTCACAGTCCTCATTTAAATGATTCATATTCTAATTTAATATCATCTTTATCAATATAAATTTTGTAAATTTCAGAGAGTTTTTTAAGTCCATAAACAGATTTGTCATTATTTTTTTTCAAAAAAATACTTTTCAGATCAAAACATTCAAATTTCTGACCAGTATTTGAAAAATCTTCAAACCTGTGATTTATAACATTCATAAGTGAATCAAACAAATGACAAAGTATGGATTAATTTTAAAACTTTGATCAGCTGTGATTTATTATTTAAATTAACCTCTATGTCTATACCAATTTCATAAAAAAATTGTTTTTTATTTTTGACACAACGCGATTGCATTTTTTTGACTTTATAAAAATATTTATTTGTTTTCATGGATTTAATATTTTCTGAACAATCTATAATTATGCTAAATGCAGTTGTTAAATAAAATGATATATTTTGTAAATAATTAGATAATATATTATATAGATGCTTTTCCTATTATATTTAAAAAAAAAAATATATATATATATATTTTTTTTTTTTGCTTATTCCGGGCCTTGTAGGTACATCGTCGCTTCTACTACATCTCTCCATACTTCTCTATTCTTCGCCAGTTGTTCTCCCTCTCGTGTTCCCAGGAGCTTGAGGTTGTCTCTGACTCTTCAGACCATCGTTGTCTTGGTTAGGTTAACTAAATTAATAACTAAATTATTAACCTAACCGAATTTCCTCTCGGTCGTTTCTTGTCTGGTTTCCATAATGTGATATTATGCACTGTTTGGCCCTCCGCTATCCAAACGTGTCCATCCCAGCTTATCCGTCTGTTTTTAAGAATTCCTACTATATTTGTTTCATTGCATATTGCCCTCAACTCTTCATTAGTTCTTCGTGTTTTCGTGTTTTTTTGGGGCCCATAAATTCTACGCAATATTTTTCTTTCAAATAGTAGCAGTCTTTTTCGTCCAAATTTGTTGATGCCCATGCTCCACAGGCATATAAGACTATAGGTCTAATAATCACATTATAAAATCTTAATTTTGTATTTCTGGAAAGTAATTTTGACTTGAATAATGGTAAAAGCGCAAAATAGCACTTATTTCCTGCCGTAATTCTCCTGTTAATTTCTTCGTGGCTATTTGCTTGTTGGTTGATATTTACTCCTAGTTATTTAAAGTTGATACCCTTTCGAAGGTAAAGTCTCCAACTACTAACGAATCTTGTACATGTTCTCTTTGTGATATTATTAAATACTTCGATTTTTGCTCATTAACTTGTAGACCAATATCTTTCCCCTTACTTATTAGTTTTTCTGCCGTCCGTAATATATCTTCTTCGGTTTCTCCAATAATTATTACGTCGTCCAGCATATGCTGCTAGTGTTATTTGATGTCCTTCTATAGGAGAATAGGGCATAGGGCTCAGACCCACGGCATCAACAAGAACTTCTCTCACTACTAACTCTAGGGTTATGTTAAATATTGTAGGGAACAAAGCATCTCCCTGTCTAAGACCTGTTTCTACTGAAAAATCATCAGATAACTCTCCGTTAAACTTAACTTTACATTTAGAGTGCTGCATGCATGCCTTTATCATTCTCGCCAGTTTTGCAAGGATTCCAAACTGAATCATTGCTTTCCAGAGCCTATATCGATATATGGAGTCATACGCATGCTTGAAATCAACAAATAGTAGGTACACATCTATGTTGTACTCGTGGCTTTTCTCTACTATTTTCTGAATGTATGTATTTAACTGTAGATTTCCCTGGCATAAATTCTTACTGATATTCTCCTATTATGTCCCTTGAGTATGGTTTAATTCGGTTCAATATTATGTTCGATACTATTTTGTAAGATGTGATTAGTAGGGATATCCTCTGTAATTCTGGCAAACCATAGCGTCTCCCATCTTCTAAATCGGGCATAACAATGACACGTGCCATCTTGTTGGTATCTTTTCTTGTTTTCAAATATTATCTACTAGCCATTTTAGCTGTTTTATTAGTTTTTTTCCTTCTTCTTTCAGTAGTTCAGCAACAATTGCATCTTCCCCTGGCACCTCCCCATTTTTCAAAATATCTACTGCCCTTTCCACTTCTATTGTGGGTCCTTCTAATCTTTGTTCGGCTGTGCTGAGGTTTTCTTCCATGTCTACCTGAAAAGGTTGATTCAGCATTTTATCAAACATATTCTTAAATTCATTTGCTACCTTTTTCATATCAATAATTAGTAATCCCTCTCCATCCATTATAATTATTGATTTTGCCTTAAATCCAACCATGATCTCATTAGCTTTTTCAAAAAAGAGTTATACATTGATCTTGTAACTGTTTTCTTTTACTTCAAGTCTAGAGTTTTCCTATGCTTTTTTCTTTCTTCTAAAGATTTGTTTGATTTCTCGTTGCTTAATTGCTAGTTATCTTTTATTCTCCTAACTTGGGTCTTGTAACATTTTTTGTTCGTGCAAAATCTTTTTCTTACTTGCTTCTTTACATTTTTCATCTAACCATTTTTTCCTTGTTCTTCTTTCTTCAAATCCCAGGACTTCTGTAACCAACGTTTTGACCGATTTTTCAATCTCATTCCACAGATCATCTACGTTGTTTCCTGACACCCATATTTTATTTCCTTTAATTTCTTTCCTTATATTTTTCATAGTTTCTTCATATATATATATCATTGAAGTAAGTTTTGCGTAGTGCCGAGTCACTCGGATTTTCTCTTAATGTATACTTTTACAAAAATAATTTTAATTCAGGGTTACTTATTTTGTAAAGAGGTATATTTGCTGACAATAAAGCTTTACACAAATCGTGTGAAAATAAACATTTTTTGGAGAAATAATTACTAGCTGTTGAACATCAGTGTTCTTTTTGTTTTTTCTAATAGCCGCTCGTTTGTGTTTTTCAGTGTTAACAGGTTGAGTCACTACAAATTTTCTATCACTGTTAATCTTTACTTCACATAACTTGCAACATAGAATAGTTCATCAGTTTTAAATACATAAGTACCATATTCTGACACAAAACTTCTTAAACGATATGTCGCAGATTGTTTAGCGTTTGACATAATGAAATAAAAATAAAAATGTATAATCTAAACACACAAGTAGTACAAAAGTACAGAAATACTGTCAACACGGATGTATTAGTCGGAACTGAAATAATATTTACAACCCATGGATAGGTTTATAGTAATACCGAAATAATCATTAAATTATTTTCCTAGAAAACTATTAATAGAAAATAATCGTAGCTGCTTTTATTGTAATAATTAATAAATGATAAATTGATAAACATATACGATAACAAATTGATCACTGATCACTATAAGCGGCGACCACTGTATTTACCAAATATTTACCAGTTCATAAATGTTTTTAAAAACGTACAAATTGAAACATATATTGAAATATGAATTTCGGAAATAATGAAAAAAAAACCACATTTTACAAAAATAATAATGTATTAATGACAAAAAGAATTGAAAATATGCAGGATTAAATAATTGATTAGATTTTGTAAAATTAATGTCTTTTACATTTTTATCATCATTTGTKGTTTTTTAACAATATTTTATTTATTTATGCTATAGATTTTTTTTGTAATTTATTTATAACATTCATTTGTAATATGTTTTTTTTTTTTTTAATAACGCACTTACATTTTTATTATAACATGTGTTGTACAATTCTAATAATTCATATTTTTAACGGCAAAGAAACAAAAAAAGGTAAATCGAAAAATAATATTTTTAACCATATCTTTAGTCTAAATAGATCATAGACATTAGACAGTCCTATCTATATATTATGTTGAAATTGATGGAAAATGTTATTAGTGTAGTACTTAACGAAAAATAAAAAATAAAATTTGGACCCAACTAGTGTAGTACCTAAAATAAACCGGGACTCATTTAGTATAGTATCTATAAAAATCCCGGACACCACTATAGTATAACAATTTTTGATTCGGAATTCAACTCAAATTCAGCTAAATGTAATTGTGGCGGATTATCGATAATCGACGTTTGGAAAAATCTGTTTTGCATTATTCTCGTGCTTGAATGCTAACCAGTTCTGGATAAGGTGGTTTACGATTTGGAGGTATATTATTGTCACCTCCAGAAGAAGACAACATTGTAGTATGGTTGGGTAAATATGTATAATGTATGTATTCACTAAGAAAATATTGATACTGACAATTTAGACTAACGAGTGATACGCATTTAAATTTTAGTAAGTATCATTTATAATATTCTATAATGCATGGAAATGAAATATTATAGGTACAACAGTGTGGAAAAATAATAATAACTAAAGCATTTAATAATCATCAATTATTATTTGTAAGTATAGTAAGCTAACTACTTACCTATGTTTAACACAATGTTATTAAAACAATTTCCTTAAGTATATAATATGTTGTAGTAGCTATATTAGATTTGCTCTTTGATTACGACTTACTTTTAACTACTATAATATGATGTTGGTTGTTTATGAATTCATACTGATATAATATATACCTATAAAACTATATTTACAGTTTATTTATTTGGAATATGAATTTTAATAATATTTTTCTTTAACAAGTAGTTTATATATTAAGTCTAACTTGTATAAAACGGATTTAGGCTCATCGTGGTGTGCACCATCGACTACAGCCGCTAATTTTCTTATAGATTTTTTTTAAGTGGATATACAAAAGAAGACCCGCCATTTTTGAGCTCAATTAACTGTTTATTCTAGAACCAGGCAGAGTTTTTTATACCTACTGTATAATCGGTTAGCCAATCGTAAATCACTTCGATTCTATAGATGATTTTTATTTTGTAAAATGATTAAAGGTCTCTAGTGTCTAACCGAATTAAACTATAAAATAATCAGATGCCGTATATGACCTCTATATAAATGTGTATGGGATTATGAAACTTAGCACTTCAATCAGTATTATTTCTATTACTAAATAAAATAATATGTATTTAATTAAATCCCAGGTTTACCAGCCAATGAAACTTTTGATTTATTGTAGGTAGAGTCTGCTTTATCGTCATTGATGATTTCAGTAGCTGTCGCTTTAATTTCAGCCCAATCTCTTGTGATGTCCGAAATCGTAGTATATTGTGACGTTACAGTAAAACGTATAACATATTTGCCTATAAAAATAAACTTATATAATATTTACATAAACAATTAAGTTAACTTAAAATAGAAAAATATAACAAGTTAAAAGTTATTTTTTCTTTTTTTAACTGTAAATGTTTTGAATTAAATAGACAAAAAAATAACTGATATTTTCTTTTTATTTTAACTGAATATTTCAATCCATCCACAAATAGTAAATTAAAAAGAAAAAAGATTAACACAAAATATATTTTTATAATTTATTATTTTAGATTCTGCACGGATCAATAATTGTTTTGATTTTATAATTTGTGTTTTTTTTTTAAATTTTTTTTGTTTCATCATTTTTTGGGACAGTAAAAATGATTCGATTTTTCTTCAGCAACAAGTTTTAGAAGTAAAGTGAATCTAGTTGGTGCTTTGAAGAGTAAAAAGTAAAAAAATCCTAATATTTTTCAAAAGTATCAGGAAAAACGAACAAAACGTTAAGAAAAACAAATTTTTAAATCAAACCTGTTTTTGAAAAGCTTGTGATTTTATTTTTTAGTGTMMCWMAAAAAAAATAATTTTAGATACACATGCAATTTTCACTAATTATTTATGTAAACAAATTCTAATTATTATACAATATTTGGAATATTGCGATTCTTTTTGAATTATTTATGAACATAAGATATTTTCAAGTTTTATTAGTTTGTAATATATTGTAATAAATAGTAATAATATGTATATTTTTAAAACTATTTTCAATAAAAAAATGTTTAAATGTAATTCAAGTTATTATTTTTTATTATTTTAGTTATTATTAATTCAAAAAAAACCGTGAGTTGTTGTTAATGATAGTTTAAAAAAAGTTCAGCGTAAGTTTACAATCATTTTATGAGCGTCTGAAGTTAAAATTTCAATTATGAAATTAGCAAATTATTTCGAGTGAGAAATTCGTAACAAATTTTCTGTGTATTTTTTAGCTCTAAAATTCTTATACACGATTCCCCTTAAGCTTTTCTACATCTAAAAAAGTTTATTGAAAAGTCAAAGTTATTCTTTTTGTGTATGTGAAGTTAGAAATTCACTTGTAAAATACTGAAGTCTGATTCAACGATTTTCTTATTTTCATAAAATGTTCGTTTTCTCTATAGATATTTAAAGGAAAACTTATGGGAAACTTAGTGTTGTATTTTTAATCCTTAGTTATAAACACAAAAAATTAAAAAAAAAATTTTCAGACAAATTGAAATTTCAGTCGTCTATAAATATCTCAAAAAAAGTCAAAATATTTTGAAAATTAAATCATGTAAAGAAAATGCCAATCTAAATAACTGATAAAATTTTCAAGTATCTACGACTTTATACTTTTTGAACAATAACAAATATTTAAAATCTAATTCGTAAAAATTTAAAATTCAAACGCACTTAAAATTGTTCCTATAATGATGCTTCAAGTTTTCTCTATGGCTACTTGAAGAAAAACTTATGGAAAATTTAGTGTTGTATTTTTAATCCTTAGTTATAAACGCAAAACATTTTATAATTTTTCAACTTCAAACTTACTTGCAATACTTGCTTCTGAATTAGTTAACGAGCATTTGACAAACTTAGAAAAATTATTTAATCAATATTTTCTTGAGGATATTCGAGTAAATTATAAGTGGATTGAACAACCATCCGCAATAGATTTTTTCTAACTTTTGTTCTAAAAAGGATAACAATAACGGGTTGTCACCGGAAAGTAAGCTCCAACGCGCTCGGTAGGTTGAAAAAGTCAAAAAAAAATTTGTGTGGGGGGGGGCGGAAAAACATTGGCACCCGGGCGCCAAATTTCTGAATACGTCTCTGTCACTAATATAAGTAGGTAAATCGCTACATTCAATTCTTATGATTTCAGAAAATAGTTTTGGTCTGACGTAATAAGTAAACGTAGCATACTTAAATTGATTTAGTTTGTTTGAAATTCAAAACAAATTTAAATGATTAATTACAATTTGAAATTGCGATCCTCAGAAATAGTTACGTATTCAATTTACAACAATAGAATGTATTACCTTTAAGTGATGCAGGAACACAATGAATTCTTCCTCTAGAATTTAAGCGCTTTAACAGTCTTTCAGTTAAATGATTTTCTCCACGTAAACGAAAAACGACTAGGCCTAAGTGTCTAGCTGCAGGTATTTCGAATCTTTTATCATTCAACACTAGAAGTTCAAATTTGTTTGCCAACTGTACACCCTAATATAAAACATTTATTATCTATTTCATGTATTTGTTCAATTTCCATAAAAACATTTTTGTTATTTGTATACTTGTACATAGATACAACATGATACTTACTCCTCTTATATGTTTTTGAAGACCTTTTATTCCAAAACAACGAATTACAAACCAAAGTTTCAAAGCTCTAAATCGTTTACTCAATGGTATTTGCCAATGCTTCAAAAACAAAAATTATTTTGTTGAGAGCATTCAATATAATAATAAATAATATAATAATTTAAAAATACATACCATATAGTCGATAGCGAGGCCTAAAAATGATAGTTGCAAGTTAAGATTTTATTTTTAATATCTTTTGAATATTGTATTATATACTTAATTAGGTGTTAAACTATTGAATATTAGATAGGCATAGGTACCTAAATCCCTTACTCCATATAGGCCATAATAATTTTTATCTTTAAATACGCATAAGAATTATAAAAATAAAATACAAAATCGCATTAAGTGATTTGACTTTCAAGATCTAGGTTAAAGCACTTTAAATCTTACTTCTTGTTACACCAATGTAAGGCCAGAAGAAATTAAACATCTAAAATTCTAAACCACATATTTTTTTTTTTGTTCTTATGATAAATTGCAGTTCGAATGCAAACGACTATTTTATTTTATTGGCCTTTTAAAAATATTTAGGTAGTTACAAGTAGAAAAAATACTATCGCTACATATCCACCCCTACATTATATATTAGATACACACACACACTCACACACACACACATATATATATATATATATATATATACTCTGATTTAGAGTGATACGAAAAATAAATTGTTTACTCTATACACACCTGAATTTTCATGCTGTAAATATAATGGATCGACGTTGAATGTACGATGAAGACATTCACTGTTTTTGACCCTAACAAAAATAAAAACATAAATTATGCCGTATGTATCATGCATGTGGTGAATTGGGGTTATTTGTGACACATGGTATAGTTTTATGCATTATTATTATGAATACAACATTTTTTATAATTCTAAAATGAAAACTACTATACATAATTTGCTTTTCTAATATATTAGAATCGTTTAACATAAATATTGGTAAGTCACAATATTACCTACATGATATTTTTTCATTTAATAAAAATAATATTACAAATTATTTTGGATTCTAATTTATTTTTATCTTTTGAGTAATTTATCGGCACAAGAAAATTTTGATTTTTGCTAGTTTTTAAACTATTGTAGATAAAATACTACTAAAATTAGTATATAATTTCTAAAATAGTAATTAAATTTAAATATCTAAAAGCTAGAAAATGTTTTGAAGGTTCCTCATAAATTGATATAAGAGTAATTTAAAAAAAGTTGAGTATGAATTCACATACGATTTTTAGTCTGAAGTTAGAATTTCTCAAATTATTTTGGAGTAAGAAATAGGTATGTAAATTGTAAAATTTTTAATATTTTATTGTTATTGCTGATGGTTTAAAATGTAAGAGATGGTGAATGGATGTGCAACAAACGTAAATATTAAAAACAAAATAGAATTGATACATTGTTTAAATTAAGTTTAATTATCTTAATAATTTATAAATTTTAGTCTTAACAAAATGTTTATACTTAAATATTACATTTAAGATAATGACCTAACTGAAGTTCAAGGGAAAAAAAGAAAAGAAAAAGAAAAGCAAATACTAATCTTTGGAAGAGGAGTGGAACTAAACAAAAATATTTTCTGGAAAAGAATATTTTAACCGTAAAGGCAAGCAATATGAAAAAAAGCGCTTAAACCAGTTGCTTGTGTCATATGCTGGTAAAATTATAACTATTTATTTTAATGTTATTTTTAAATATGTAATTTATAATTATAACACTGTTAAATTTATAAAATATGTTAAAATAAGGACAAATGTAATTTCCACTTCCCATATCATATTCGAGAGATTCATTGTCAAGAATATTGGTAGCTTATAATGTACAGATAAATCAACACTAACTAACAATAAACAGTTTCAATAAGGTATTTATTAAAGTATTAATTAATGAATGAAGAAGGGTGTGTTTAAAATTATTTTATGCAATATTTTCTATATCCCATAAAGTAGATGAAACCTGTATGGAAAGCATTGGAACAAATTATGAAGATAAAAGAAAAATAAGCCTTCAAATTACACCTCCCAAGAAAATTTAAATATAGTTAAAAATTACATGAGCAGTTTTCCAACTGTTGAAGAATTACATAACTGTAGACGTGATTCTTCTAAGTTATACTTATTATCTGAATTAAATTTGTCAACCCTATACCGTTTGTATAAAGAACAAATCGAAAACAATATGACAACTGGATCTTTTTTTATCTATCAAAAAGTCTTTCATGCATTTGAATTTAAATTAGAACTTTTGTACCGAAAAAGCACCAGCATTTTCATAGCAATACATATTATGGGGCTACTGATAACCAAGATTTAGAAAAAGATTGGACTAGACATAATACAATAAATTGAAAAAGAGAGTTTAGAAATTAAGTGTACTGAAAAACAAAAAGCAGTTATTGATGGAGTAAATTCATTTAGATCCTTAACATTTGATTTACAGGCTATTTATCTCTTCCATTTATTGGTGATAATCAGTATACAACAAATGTAATATAAATGTTAAAATTTTTCAATTTTCAATGGACATCATAAGGATGGTTATTATTTTGTTGCATAGAAATTCTCAATTGCCCAAAACTGTTGCCCATGTTTTCAGACACATGTGTTGGAAAAAAATCGAAATAAAAATATTATGACTGCTGTTTTGTATGCAGTAAACACTAGGATGAAAACATTGATAATTGATTTAAAGTTTATGAAACCTGGACACTCGTATCTTGAAGCAGACTCAGCATGCAACCATAGAATGAGTTAAAAGGAAAGAAAAAATTATAAATAATTATAATGTGCTTTATTATTTTCGTGTGTAAGAAGACATTCATGTCCATATAAAGTAACAACTTTGAACCATGATGATTTTTATAACTTAGAGAAACTAGTTAATACTACTGTAAATACTGAAAAAGAAAAAGTTAAATGGATAATGTTTGATAAAAGTGAACCTAATATTATGCAGTATAAATATGGATTACAAGACACAAAGTAAAAAAAAACTGCAGTTAAGAAAAAGATTGAAGTTCCGTTGGTTTATTATGTTGTAAGTACCCAATCAATCAATCTATCAATAAAGACAAGAAAAGATTTAAACACTTTACTAGAACTTAAAATAATTTCATCTGATTATAAAAGTTTCTTCGATGAACTACCATCAGCCAAAAGGCTACATCGTCCAATAGAATAAATGATGAATTAAATTTTTATAAAATTATTCCAAAAATGTTTTTGTAAAACATTTTTTAACAATATTGAAAATTTTCTTTTAATTGATTGTTAAAAATATAGGAAGTCTCAATTTAATTGTTTTATTATTTTTGCAATAATAATGTGTTACAACTGTAAATTATACTAAAAACAAAATGTGGTAAGTACATATGATATGTATAAAACTAAGTATATTATTCATGCAATAGTTGAGTTCAAATATGTTATAAGACATAATTAGGGCCTGGATTTTTATACATTTGCATGTTTTTTTTTTGAATTGTCCAAAAAAWTGCTAGGTAAGCTACAAGTTTGAGTTAAAGTCAGTAGATCTGAAATATAAAATTTTAACAAATTTGTTGCAAAATATATAAATATATTTTTTTTACAGATTGCTTATTTTTGTTCTGTTTAAAATGTAATGTAAAAGTAAATGGCGAAAGACGTTTTACAGTCATCCAACATTTGTCAAATATAAAACACAAAAGTACAGTTACACATACGAATTTACTAGAAAACATCAAATATTAATTTCAAAATATGCAACTTCAAAATATTATTTTTTTCAAGACCTGTGAAATACAATAATTTCAGCCGATATACCTTTTAATAAATTAAATAACAAGTGATTTCGTGAATTCCTAGAAAAATACACTAAAGAAACTATTCTAAATGAGTCAACATTAAGAAAAAACTATATGTATACGACCAAACCATCAACATCCGCAATGATATTTTGAACCAAAAAATATGGAAAGTATCAATGAAACTACAGACGTTGAAGGTCATAATATACCCAATGTGATATATTAGATAAAGCAAATCATCAAACGATTTATAAGTTATTCGATAATTCTTTAATTTTACTTTGGCTGGATGGGTTACGCAGAGATGATGTTTTGCTTTTTATCACTGATGCTGCACCATACATGGCCAAAGCAGTCAAATCTCTAGATATATTTTATATAAATATGGATAATTTAACATGCCTGGCTCATGGACTACATCGTATCGCTGAAGAGATATGTAAATATTTTCCAAAGGTAGATAATTTAATTTTTAATGTGGAAAAAATTTTTCTGAAAGCATCGTCACGTGTATTATTGTTTAAAACTAAGTTACCTGATACTCCATTACCACCTCAACCAATAATTAGTAGGTGGGGTACTTGGTTAGACACTGCTATGTATTATTCTAATCATTTTCAAGATTTTAGTCACGTAGTAAATACGTTTAATAAAAATGAGTCGGTTTCCATATAAATTAACCAAAATTTAATTCAAGATTCAAATTTACCTATAAATCTTGCTTTTATAAAATCGCACTTTAATTTTTTCTCCTAAATCATCACTCTATTACAAAAAAATACATCTTTAAACGATTGAATTGATTTCCTGAAAAGTGTTGAAAATAATATTTCCAAAATACCAGGAAACGTCGGAAAAGCAATTCAAGAAAAATTTCAAGCTGTTATAAAGAAAACTAATGGCTATGAAACCTTGAAAAAAATCTCTGCTTGTACTGACGGAATAAATGGAACTTTGGATAATATAGAAAAAATATTCAGTCCCAGCGACGTATCTCTTTTTAAATATGCTCCTGTCACATCCGTCGACGTAGAAAGAAGTTTTTCGAGGTTCAAAAATGTACTGGCTAATAATCGACGAACTTTCACATTCGAAAATCTGAAAAAAAAACATTCGTATTACAATGTAATGCGAATGCTTTTGGTATGTATTTATTTATGTTAAGTTAAATATTTTAGACGAATATTTTTAATATTAATTTCTCAGATTGAAATAAAAATATGTTCAAATAACTTCAAAAAAATATAATATAAAAATAATATAATTTTATGTAAATACCTATATAAATGTAAATAAAATACTTTTTTAATCGATTTGTTTGCATATTTTTTATTTTATCGGGCATATTCCTACAAAACAAGAGTATAAATGCATATTTTTGAGTGGATATTTCTTAGGTTTTTAGAGCATATAAATTCGGGCCCTAGTTAAGACTAGAAAACTAATAGAAAATTATTGAAGTAAATCAAAAATTATTGGTCATTTCCAGATTTATTGATATTAAATTTTCAAATACTTTTGTCCTGAACAGTTTGGTAAATATTTCTTGCTACATCTGTGTGCTAGACCGCCGTCAAATATTATATTTTATATCATTCCCCATATTAAGTGACGAAGTAATCAATACGTAAGTGTATATGTATAAGCTTTTGACTGTTGTCACCACTGTAAGAGCATTTACCACATAGCCGTGCAATCAAAATGAACCATCATCCATTTGCTTGGGTTGAATGCAATCGAGTCGGCGTATGCGACACCCGATAGCCAATGACGAAATTCCGGACAAATGAACGCTGTACCAGCGTACGCTGCGTCAACATGAAACCACATGTCTTCCGCGTGGCCTAAAATAAGTTATTTATCAAATTACAAGAGATCCAGAAAAGTTTACAACAATTAGAAATTTAAATTTATTATGAATAATAATTACATATCGGTCCAAGTTCTTCAAGTTTGTCAAACGCACAAGCTCCAGTTGTACCCAACGTCGCACATAGCTGTAAAGCACCACCATATGAAAGTTTGTATTATTATGCTGTAGGTTATATTAGATATCATAGCAGACAATTTCATATAAATCTAACACATATCATACCTATTTATATAGTTACCTATTTATTTGTTATATATTATACGAGTAAAGTAGGAAATCCGGGCACTGTACACAAATATTTTGGGCTATGTAAGAATCATCATTTTAATACCTACTCAAATTGTTCATACATTGTCCGGGTAATGTTCTGGATTGCACGGTCAAAGTGTACCTTGCCCAGATTCAAGTGGGCAAAGTAAATTAAATACAGCTCGCTGCAAAAATGTATATCAAATTGCATTTATATGTAACAATATCACTAAAAAGCTATACTTAGATATTTTATTCGTACACGACAACATGACAGTGGCCGATAATACGAACCTATCCATAATCTTAACAATAAAGTGATCACATAGTATATAAAACTCGAACATAATGGCTATCTAGATAATATTTCAAAAAGGAATCAAAAATATTCAATATTTTCTAATGTTTATTATCACGACGCAGATGTCACGTAGTATGTTATTAGTTAAGGGGCCTCGTCACCACATGTTTTTTTTCAAAAACTACTGTTTCTAATTCTAACGATGCGTGTCGACAATTATCACGATTCTCATTCTGGAAAAATATTCGGATTCTCCACAATATGTACGAGGGAATGACCTCGATACATTTTTAAGTTTTTTTAATTTTAATTACAATAAATATTGTAAAAAATTAAAACAATTGCAAATCTTCAAGCTTAATTATTTAACCAACCAAGTAAAATTTTAAAAATGTGCTTAGGTCGATCCCTTTTACATGTTGTGAAAAAAAAGAATATTTTGTCAGAATGCAAATCGAGGTAACCGTTGCGACGCATCGTTAGAATTAGAATCGTATGTTAGAGTGAAAAAAAAAAAATTTTCGTGATGACAATATTACGTATTGAMATGCGCGTGCGAGTGCGTGCGACGTAGCCCCTCCGTACCGCTACCTCCGTGCCACGCATACATCTAATAATGAACCTGTATAATGACACAATGTAATATGATTAGATACGTATAATTCTTAGTATTCTAACTATTCTATAACAATATTAGCAAAAACTATAAAATCCGTGCCCTGATAATAATTTATACACATTAAGATGCTATTATTATTTTCTTGAATTCTAATAGGTACTTATTTTATAAATTTATAATTTCCGATCGCTTTGAATTTATTATTTAGTATTTTAGTCACTATTTAGCTTTCTTTCTGTAAAGACTAAATAATTATTGTAATTAGAAAAATGAATTCCAAGTATAAAGTAAAAACTAAAATTCCATTATCTAAAA